AACAGGCAGCCCAAGGAACACATCCAATCCCAGAGTTTGGCCCACCAATGAGTTCATTTAAAAACAGATTTTAAAGATTACAAAAATTTGTTTTTTTAGATTTTAAATAAAAAATAAAATAAAAAATAGAAACATTTATAAGATCTTGTAGTATGACATATCCTGAGATATATTCATACAGTTAAAACGGGTTCTTTCATTTTTCTGGACTGTGTAACATACGTGCGTTGAATGTAATAAAATGTGGACGTGAGACGTTAATTATCTTTGACTCACCAAATGAGTGGGTCATTTATTAACAGAATCAAGTTTAACACATCACACATTTACATTAATTGGCAAGAATTGGAAAATAACAACATAATTAATCAGCTTTACAACCAGGAAAACCATACGGCCATGATTTTCCGTTGCTTCACCACAGACATTTCTGAAAACATCTGGATTAATTTGCTAGCAGATAGGAGAGTTTAAAGATGGAAAGTGAAGTTTGTCTACAGAGAGATGTGTGAGGGAATTTGTCTGTTTTAACCAGAACATGCACGCTCCTTCGGAAATCAGCTTGTCCCAACAGTACACTTTTGGTGAAGGTCGACTTCTACCTTTTCTGAAGATAGATCAGTTCCGGCGTGAAGTCCCACTTCGAGCCACTGTTCAGCGTCTCCGTAAGAACAGCTAAAGACCTCGAGAGTCGTGTGAGGTTATCCAAACAGAAGTTATAATTCCCAAAATCGTCTCTGGTTCAGCTTGATTCTAATTCAGCAGCATCCTGAATGCCAGCGTTCTGCATTCAGGAACTCCCAAACTCTCTGCATTCTGAATTCCAAAAAACTCTCTGCTTGAACTGCTGCTCCATCTTCAAGACTGAGCTTACAGCAGCTTCAAGACTGAGCTGAACTCTCTGAGCTGAACTCTTCTGAATTCCAAAAAACTCTGCTTGAACTAGGAAGTGCCCACATTTTAAAGAGCTCTACTTCCGGTTCATTTGAGAGCCTTTTGATTGGTCGATGGACCAAAGCAGAGGTGTGGTTTGTGATGTAAGGTGTTATTAAAAGTCAAGGAAAAGATTCAGATTGTTTAAGAACAGACAGAAAGATATCATGGAAAAACCAGACTTCGTGGAGCCACTCACCAAGTATCTCGCTGTAAAAGTTAAACATGACATTTCTTTTCAGTAAACTTTCAGTTGACCGAAACTCGAACTTTGACACACTTACAAATTTGCTCACTTCAAAGAAGACGATCAAGAAATTGAATCATTACTCTGTAACGTACTCTAACTTGATTTCACTTTGAATTGAGGATTAAGAATCATTACTACTGTTTAAGTAAATAAAAATGATTAGTTCACTTCAACATGTAGACATTGTTTGAACCAAAACACTTTGATTATCAAAACATTTGTAAAATAGTAATGATCATAGAGAATTGTCTTTTTCCACTTGATTAATTCAAGAAAGAAAGTCTTAGGATGGGTTAACCTGTATTTCTGGATTCAAATCAATGAAATGACAGTTTCAGTCCCATATGGTCAGTTTTGACATCAGGCCTAGTCCACTACAATCTTAAATGACAAACATTTCCATCCCATTGTATAAATGATCTCAGTAAGTAGCAATGCAACTCAGTTTATCTGCCAGTGTGTTTAAATAAAAGAAAACGTTCAGATCGTTCTCCTTCTTCTTCTTTTGGTTATTCACGGTTGGGTTGCGGAGACAGTGGGTCCAGGAAATAGACCCAGACATCCTTGTTCCCAACAATATTCTCCAGCTCCCTTCTTGGGGGTCCCAAGTTGTTCCCAGGCCAGCGAGGACATATAAACTCTTCAGAGAGTCCTGGGTAGGACATGTCCAGAAAACCTCCATTGGGAGGCTTCCAGGAAGCATCCTAATCCGATGTCTGAATCACCTCAACTGACTCTGAATCTGAGCTCCCCTCGGATGGTGGAGCTCCTCAGCCTATCTTTAAGGCTGACCTCGGCCACCCTACAAAAGAAGCTCATTTCATGATCAAACCTCATGACCAGAGGTGATGGAACATGGATAAAACAGCAAATTGAGAGCTTTGCCTTTCGACTCATCTCCTTTTTCACCATGACCACCGAAGCAACACTCAATACTGAGGACTAGACCAATCCATTGATCAATCTCCCGCTCCATCCTTATGTCACTTGTGAGCAAGACGTCCGGATACTTGAACTACTTGAACCAGTGTCTGAGCACAATCAATGTGGGGCTTTGTCCCACTTACTCGTTGTCATTGTGCTCACTGAGCTTTCATTCAAACCCAAAATACTAACTACAGCTAAATGTATTAGAAAAAAAAACAATATTTGAACATACAGCAGCATGGTAAGAGATACTGTATATGACCTAATGAGCTTCAGCACCTGAAAACAGTTACTCAAGGTGTATTTTTATTACAATGAGGGACTCAAAACCTTTTCTAGAACCAGCCCAGCTGTGCTTATATCTGCAGAGGAAGCTTAAAGTCATAAAGTTCATTTTAACTCTGGTTTATTGCTCACACATCAAATCAAATTACAAATAAACAAAAAAACCTCTGCTGCAATTGATCAGGCTGAAAAAATTCTTGGCTCACCTCAAAGCGCTCTTTCTGAACTTTATACTGCCTCTGTGACCAGGTGTAAAAATGTTGGCTTTTCATGAGTCAATCTAAAAAAAAAAAAAATCTGATTTCGATCAACGTTGGAGCTGCTGGTGCATCTAACTGATCTGTACTCATGGTGCGCCTGTGAGTTTAGAATTAGACCATCATATTGTAATTATTGTGGTGAACTGCAAATAATGTACATCTTTGCATTAATACTATAGATTCTGACACAACCAGCTTCAGTTCTTTTCTCCACGACGTCTTTCCCTTATTTCCCTTGAAGCCTGTTTAGTGATTGTTGCCAAGAAGTTGTTGCACACACATTTGTTGTTGTCTTGAGCCAACGTAACACGCAGTTATGTAGGAATGATTTATTCTATATACATACTTCAATTGGCTGTACTGTACAAGATAGATAAATGAGTCAAAGTTATTTGCTTCTGATTCATTTGACAGCTTATTCTGTGCATTGAGATCCACTCTCACTTGTATATGGATCAGGTTGTGGTCTGGATAATGTGTTTCATAATCTCTGCAAAGCCACATGTCCGATACCCTCCAAGAATGGACTCAAGCACTAAAATAATCACTGCAGTGCATCAAAACTACATTTCATTCAAAATAATCTATTATCCACTAATGATCAGGATGTCCGTGTCAGAGAAGGGAAAGATGCATGAATCCTCAAGTCTGAGTGGTTTGGGTCCATTATGATGCCCTGATGGTTCACCTTGAATTTATCAAGTGGCCATTTTCCACTGTGATGATTAGGCTTAAAGGAATCATTCATTCTTTAATATTTTCTGCCCTGCCATCTGTAGTCCAGCTGACTGTTCAGCTCAGAGTCTGACTTTCAGACGTCAGAGAGAGGAGCTGAATGAGTCAAAGGAGAACACATGGGTCAAAGCTACTTCAAAGCATGACAATGAGTTTATTCAAAGTTTTCTGGTAACACTGAGGTTGAAGACATGATGTGAAGACAATAATGCAAATGATTTACTGTCTTTTGTGTAAATGAGGCTGCCCTTGCATGTTTGTAGCCATCACACTGTCTCAAACAAAAACATATGTTCCTTTGTCCTTACACAATCAAACTTTACCTTAACCTTACAACAGACTCTCCCTTTAAGTCTTTTCACCTTCAATGTCTCCCCTTAAAGTTTGCTTATAGAAATGTGTTTGTTAAAAATGCATGTTAGGTAATGTCTGTGTACACTGAGCTCATGTGCACGCAGAGGTGTTGATACATAAACAAAAAGCCAGGTATTTAAATTCTTGTTTCATTTTATTGAAATTTGAAGGTTGTCACTGAGGGCATTGATTTATCAGGGAAAAATGCATATCCCCCAATTTTAAGAATAAAATGTTTTATAGATCAGGCTATGAATAATAAATATGATCAAAGCCCCCCAAGAAAAGCCTCAGGAATGTATTCAGGAATAATAATTTCAAAGTTTGATGTGTGAATATGACACTAACCTGGAAATTGAGTCAAAGTATGAGGGAATGTTAGCAAAGATAACCATAGGACTTCCAGAGTTGACGATTTACAGTACATGGGGACATGGAGTTTTATTAATGTTTGCTAAAAGCAAAAGGGTGATCATGTGTCTGTTTGTGTGCTTGTTTGTTTCCAAAATATATCAAAGCCACTCGATAGATTGTGATGAATTGCTCATAAAGTAACAGTTGGATGTACTTTGTACATCTACAATTGATTAACTTTAAGGATTGACCTGATTAAAGATGACTACCTCAGTCAAGCATTTTAAGAAAACACAAAATTGCCATAAGTCAGTCAATGTTACAGAAATGAGATACAGTTTGGTGTGGTAGTAACTAAGAGTCTCAGGATGGTGCCCTCTGGTGGCTGGTTTCTTTCCATGCACTCCTTGGTGTCCCATTCTAATAACTATCCTTAGCTGTGTCACCTGCATGTCCTGTCCAGGTGTTTGTTGTTATGTCTCTTTAGTCTCTGTATATAAGTCTGTGACTGTGTGTTATTCGTTGTCTGGGCATAATCTGGTAAGCCTCCTGTGTTCTTGGTGTTTCCCTGTGTTTTCTACACACCTCTGGACCCAAATGAGTTTTGCTGCCAAGACAGTGTGTATATTTTGTATCATTAAAGTGTTTCTCCTTTTACCACCTGGTCTCTGAGTCCTGCCTGCACCATTGGGTTCGACCTGCTCCTAAAACGTGACCGATGCCCAAACCAATGAAAGAACCCAGCAGGTGGATTACTTGGGCTGAGTACCTGGCCCAAAAAGCAGCTTGGATAGCCTGGTGGGAGCAAGTGGAAACCTGTCATCAGACTGAGCTTCAGAAGACACTTCCCCTCAGCTTTTCAGTGGCTAACAGCCACAACACCCCACCTCCCTGTGTCTCAGTGAGGGCTGGCCCCAATGCCCCACCTCCTAGTCTCTCAGTGGAGGTTGGACCGGATGCCTCACCACCTTCCTGTGTTTTTGTGGGGGCTGGTCTTGATGCCCCACCTCCTGGTATCTCAGTGGGGGTTGGACCGTATGCCTTACCACCTTCCAGTGCTTCAGTGACGGTGGGTCCAGACACCTTACTACCTTCCAGCATTTCAGATGGGGTCCAGGTGGATGCCGCTCAATGTTCCTGCGAGGGGGTCCAAGTGGACGCCTCTTACCGGTCCTGTGAAGGGGTCCAAGTGGACGCCTCTCAGTGTTCCTGTGAGGGGGTCCAGGTGGACACCTCTTACCGTTCCTGCGAGGGGTCCAGGTGGATGCCTTTCATCTCATCAACTGTGTCTCCAGCACCTCCTTCTCTGATTTTGGTGGTGCCTGTTCAGTCCAGCGAGGCTGAACCTTCTGAGAGCCTGCCCCAGCCTACCAAGTGGCAGAGACTCTTTGGGGCTGAACCTCCTGAGGAACTGTCTTTGCCGGCAAAGAAGTAGAGACTTGGTGACAGCCCACCTTCATGGATCCCTGAGGGTTCCATGCTGCTCGAGGGTTCTACGTTGCTTGAGGGTTCCATGCCACTCCCTGCAGTTTCTACTACAGCTGCAGCCCCTGAGGTCTCTGTATCATAGCTGGTCTCATCATCTTCTGCAGTTTCCCAGGTCTTCACACCAGCTGCAGAACGTAAGGTTCCCATGCTTGTCGTTCCCTGTGCTGGGAGGTCATGGTCTCTCAGGGTGACCATCACTATCGACCACCCACGGGACCTGCTGCCACATGCTGGACAGCCCCCTGGCTTCCCCCTGAACATCTGTCCTGTGCTAGATGGCCTCCAGGCCATTCACCAGAACTGCTTACTCCTGTTGGACAGCCTCCCAGCTGTCCACCAGAATTACTTCCATCTGCTAGGCGGTCTCCCGGTCGTTCACCTGAACTTTTGCCACATGATGGACGGGATCCCAGCCGGTCCTTGGAGATGTGGTCTTGTGTAGGATGGACCTAACTAGACTTTTTTTGTGTGTTTTTTTGTCCTTCTTGTGTTTAGTTCCCAGGTTCCACCCTGTCAGTTTTTGTTTTGTTCCCAGTGTGTTTCTCTTATGCCCTCCATCCTGTGCCCCCCCCCCCAAAAAAAAAAAATAAATAAAAATTTGGGCTGTGGATTTTGGAGACAGGGGACGTTCTCAGGGTTGGGGGTACTGTCATGATGGTGACCTGTGGTGGTATTTTTTTTGCCCCGGCACTCCCTGCTGTCCCATTCTAATAATTGTCCTTATCTGTGTCACCTGCATGTCCTGTCCAGGAGTTTGTGGTTATGTATCTTTAGTCTCTGTAAATAAGTCAGTGTCTGTGTGTTATTCGTTGTCTGGGCATTGTCTGGTAAGCCTCCTGTGTTCCTAGTTTTTCCTTGTGTTTTCTACGTGCTCCTGGACCTGAGTGAGGTTTGCTGCCACGACAGTGTGTTTATTTTGTATCATTGAAGTGTTTCTCCTTTTTCCACCTGGTCTCTGAGCCCTGCCTGCACCACTGGATTTGACCTGCTCCTAAAACGTGACAGAATGATCCACAACACACACTCTAAGCTTTAACAGGTCTCACCAGATAAAAAAACAGCTACATTTCTGTCATTTCTCATCATGAGATGATCTTAGTTTAAAATTCTGACATCTCATACGGGCGATATACAGTACATTCCCTCAAGAAGCACTAGACCTTTTAGATTAAACATCAGCTGCTCTCTTTACTATTACCAAATACATGAAAGTTCAAGCTGGGAAGAACCAAGATGACGTATAAATGCCGATGATGTTGATGAACTTTATGAACTTGATGATACCTAACATGTTATCGGAGATTTATGGTTTCTGGAGTGTAGTCTATCACAGAAGCCACTGCAAAGCATGAATATGAGAGTCAACCTGAAAATTTTCATTCTGAAAACACTTTGAGTGTTTGTGGCCTCAATCATTTCTCTGCTGTTTTAAGAGAAATTTATCTTGATAGATATATGTTGCAAAACTCCATGTATTCCTTGTGCTATCCTGATAAACCCCAAGGGGTTAGGGTTAACCCTGCTCGAAAATAGCATGCTCACATGAAATTGAGTGCTTCTCAGAAATTCTGTTTAAATCATCTTGGAATCAGAAGTGTCAGCTTCACAGCAGATTATATTATTCCATAGAAAACATAGATGAAACAGAAATAAAGGACAATATTTTTTCCCTCGCCGGAAGTTTTTCCACATTGCTTCCACATTAGAGTATATAACCCCTTAGAAAATATAATGAAGACCAAACCCTCTAGGGAACCATGAATCTACATTACCCATCCAAAGCTTCATGCTGCCAAAGTAAACTAAAGTAAAGTTATAAAGGTTTAGTAACGAAATAGCTCAGTGCACTAGACCCTCAAAGTGAATGATCTGATAATCCATTTAACTGGTTGGTTGGTAATAAAATTGTGTACAGTTTTTATGCACATTTACACTTGCAATCATCTATTACTATCCCATGTTTATTGGTTTACCGTTCAGTTTTTCAACCAATGTAAAATTCAAGTTGAGTAGCTTCCATATATAAATCTATTTATATTGTTCTTCATCAGTTTGATATGAAGAACCTCTCGTGTTAAATAGATTTTCATGCTTTGCTGGTCTTGAAGAGTTGTTCACATTCATGGAGTTTGTGTCTCAAAGCCACACAGCAGCTCCGTCACATTATTTTCTCTCTTACAAAGAGTCTCTCAAACCTGCATGTCACCGCTTCCGTGCACCTTGCAGAAAGATTTAATAGAAATCCAATATATAGAATAATTACTAATTTTGTTGAGATGTACATTCATTTTATTTTACACTTGTTATCTTTTGTGTGTATAAAGTGGTTTTCAGCTCCCTAAATGACATTAAAAGTAATCCTTTATCATATTATTGTTTTGTTGTATTTTTCAGAAAGGGAACTTTGCTGCTGAATAACAGCTTTGCTCTGACAGCTGCTCTGTTGCTGTCACTGGGTGAGCTGTCAAGATCATTCGAAATGCTCATCATTGGTCGGGTCGTTATGGGGGTGAACTCTGGTGAGTAAATAAGCATGGCTTTGAATTCAGCTCAAGCACTTTTTAATGTTTTTTTTTTTATGCCAATTTTGATGTGAAACAAATTTTGGTGAACTGTAGTAATTGAGGTTTCAATCAAAGGCTAACAAATTCACCAGCTTTCAAACAAATCAGCACAAGTACCAGAGTTACTGAGCACAGCCTCAGAGAAACATTTTCAACTTTCAATTAAATGCAACCTCTTGACATATGATTAGGGTTTCAAACAAGAATCCTACAGATGGTGTGGGGTTCTTTCTGCTAAAATAGTAGGTGCAGTAGTTAATAAATTAAACTGTATGTCATTATCACACATCGCTGAAGGCAAGAGGAGTGATCAGGTTTTTACTTTTGATAATTTTTGCAATAGGTGAGTTGTCATGTTAGTTAAATATTTGATGAGCCACTGGACAAATTTTAAGAAAGCAATCAAGGGACCTGCTAACACTGCTAACAAGACTATGCCGCTAACAAAACCACACTGCTAACAGTACCATGATGCCAATGGGACCTAACAGAAACCTCACTGCTAACAATTATTATAAGTATTATGCTGCTAACTGGAACATGTTGCTAAGATAACCTCACAGTCATCAGAACCACTCTGCCAATAGGACCACGCTGCTGTAGATTTATTTATTTTTTTACTTTTGGTGCCTTGTTTCTGTATTTTTGTTGCATGCTTTGAATAAATCCTAGTTTATGTTAATGCTCGCATTAAGCGTGTAAAGTATAGCCGAACTGAACCTATGAGAATTGTGGTGCTGCTGTTCGATGTAAGCTCCACATGGAAAATTTAGTAAGGAAACTGAAAGCTAAATTGGGTTTCTTTTTCAGAAATTAGGGGTGCACAATATTCGATTTTTGGCCGATATCCGATATGCCGATATGTTAAAACTTATTTGGCCGATAACAGATACCGATACCGATACTTTATATACTTTCCTTTGTCAAAACATAGCCCTCTTATTTAGGCTTATTTGCTACAAAAATTGTGTAACAGCTGTAAGAGCTGGTGACATATATTCAGTAACGTCATCCATACAATATGCATAGCACTTTAACTTATATTAAATGAAAAGTGTTAAATATTATTTATTAGCATTAGTCACCTGTGATGCTGTCTCACTTGTGGAGGCTTGTTCTGAGTTTCTAGCTGCAGTGTGGGATCCTCTGCACTCTTGTGCATGAAGGACAGCCTTTTTAAGTTCAAAGTTTTTGTCTATCCATTGTACCATAAGACTAATCATGCTAACGGGGCTAATATGACATCCTAATGTCTGTGGTAAAACTCACCCAAGTGCTATCGGCTATTAGCTTCTCAATGACGTCGGAAATGACAGCTTATAACTCGGGTAAGGTTATGTCAGAAACATTTCTCAGTCTGGGGACGATGTAGTGAGGCTCAACGCAGTGCAAAAATCTTCAGAATCTGACATCATCACCAACGGAAAAAACCCTTCCACACCACAGACATTTTGAAATTTCCTCTCCACTGTGAGATCAGGTAGGCGTGCATGACATCATCACGTTGTGCTGCCGCTGCAGGTATCCTTGTCACTGGGTTGTCATACAAAAACAGTGCCTTTGATATCAGTGAGTTATTTGATGGAATGGCTGATGTATGATATTGAACTTTAATGCTAATATCAGCCGATACCAATACCATGCCGATAATATCATGGATCCCTATCAGAAATAGATCCTGTCTAACTCTGAATGCTAGGAAACACCTTGTAACTGCGACTTTCCTTCCCTACATTGACTATGGTGACATTATTTACATGAACGCTCCTACAAGCACCCTGCAGATGTTGGATGCTGCCTTTCATGGTGCGCTAAGATTCATAAATGGCTGTAACTACCGTACCTACCACTGCACCCTGTATTCACTGGTTAACTGAACAACATTAACTTCACGCAGACTCTCTCACTGGTACATTTTCATCTTTAAATCACTTCTTGGTCTGTTGCCTTCATACATCTCCTCCTACTTGTCTCTGCATGAGTGCAGCTACAGCGTGTGTTCTCAGTACATTATTACCTGCAGTGTTCCCTCAATGAGGACTGAACTAGGCAAAAGGGCCTTCTCCTGCTCTGCTCCTGTTTCCTGGAATATCTTGTAAAAAGATCTGAAGCTCTCGACCTTGACCTCTTTAAGTGGCTTTAAACATCTCTTAAGTTCATGGGAAAAACCAATGCAGACATGTTCTTGTTTTTAGTTTTCTACATCATCTTACAACCTAGCAGTTTTTTTGTTGTTACATTTTCTTTTAAATACCATTTTATTTTCACTTGTTATAAAAAACATTCTCAATTTGTATGCTTTCTTTTATGATTGTCTATTGTTGTCTTTGTTGTCCACTGTTGTCATCACTCTATGTTAAAATCAGGTCTCTCTTGTAAATGAGTCCCGGTGGCTCAATGGGATTATCTTGTATAAATAAAGGTTGAATGAATTGTTTTGCACTATTAGTGATTAGTGTAAATCTTAGATCTTTTAGGTGTTCGTTTAGAATATAACTTAGTTCATGTCTTAAATCCTTATTTGCTGTTTCTTTTTACACTGTATATTTTTGCTATTGTTGGATGTAAATGGGACCCTGTGTACACAATTTCGTTCCACCTCACTTACACATGCGATGTGAATGACAATAAAGAAACTTGAATCCTTGAATCCTTGAATGGTTGCATCTACAACTGTTCCACTTTTGGATTCAATCCTATTCACGTTGGCTGTTCCAGCTTTGGAAACCTTTTGTGTTTTCTTAGCAAACACAAAAACTCCACTTAACTCCAATAATTTAACAGACATTGAGCTAAACTTGGTGTTAGTTGTAGCTGAGCATCATTCTCAACTTAAACCCCAAGTACTCACTGATGACATAAACTTTTAAACCATTGCCACTTTGTATTGGAGTCAACTTTGTCTATTTCGTAGCAAAATCTACTGAACCACTGACTACTCTCCCCACCCCAGAAAGTAAACATTGGGTGTAAAAAAAAAAGGGTTGTAAGCTCAATCATCCAGATAGATAACAAAAAATAGGTTATATGGTGTCATCTGGACCAGTTTCTTTAAGTGAGAAACATTTTGTCCCCCATCCAGAGGACTTCGTCACTGTACAGCCTGCCAACCAGATCTGGTAGCCTTCACTGCTCTATGTGCTGCGTCCTCCTCAAGGAGGTTGGTTTAAAACACCTCTTTGAGGTTGGCAGACTTTAGACTGATGAAGTCCTCCAGATGGGGGATGAAACGTTTCTCACTTAAAGACACTGGTCCAGATGACACAATTTAACCTTTTTTTTGTTGAATGGGTGTAAAACAACATATAAGGATGGTGCCCTGTTGTGGTCATCCTGCGCCTGCACTCCGTGGTGTCCCATCTTTGTAATTAGTCATTATCTGTGTCACCTGCATGTCCTGTTTGTGTGTTTGTGGTTATGTCTTGTTAGTCCGTGTATATAAGTCGGCGTCTGTGTGTTATTCGTTGTCTGGGCATTGTCTGGTGAGATCTTCTGAGTCCCTGATGTTTTCTGTGTGTCATGAAAGAAGTAAGTTTTGCTGCCAAAATGCTTTCATTTTACCACCTGGTCTCCGAGTCCAGCATGCACCATTAGGTTCTACTTTTAAAGCACCATTTAAGACAGTATGCCCAGACCAAAGAATGAACCCAACAGGTGGATGACTTGGGCTGATATTCAAGCTCAAGAGGAGGTGTCTGTCTTCCGGGTGAGCGGGTTCCGGATTGAACCGTCCCAAAGACAGAGACACCACAGCCTGGAGATCAAAGTCCTACCCTCCCCACTTCTAGTGGAGGAAGAAGAGAAAAAGAGGGCACAGCTCCAGGATAATCGCCATAATAAGAGGGACAGGCTGCAAAGAAAGGTTGGTACAGCCGGCTCCCAGCTCCAGCCTTCACCCATTTCTCCCTATGTGCAATCGGACGAGTGGTGGGGAATTTCACAGAGGGAGGGGCAGTCGAGCTCCCACTCATCAACAAAGTAGCTGAGCGCAGCCCAATACTACCAGGATGGGTAGCTTCGTCCTGAGTCAGCTGACATTCCTCTTGTGGCTTGTTCATCAAAGATGAATCCAGAACAGACCCACTGAACTTCTTTTGGCATTTCCTGCACATTCCATGTACCCCACTCAGCCTGGTGTGGCTGAGCCTCAGAGAACACTCCCCTCTCAGTTTGGGGAGACTGAACCACTAGGGACGTTTGCTTTCAGTGTCCCGGTGGGTGACACCCACAACAGCCCACTTTCATGTGTTTCAGTGGGGTCTGGTCTTGATGCCCCACCTGTCAGCGTCTCAGTGGGGTTTGGACTTGACAACTCACCACCTCGTAGTGTCTCAATGGGAGTTGGTCCTGACACCTCACCTTATTCCAAGCCTCCTATCAGTCCCAAGCCTCTTCTGGGCTCCACACCTCTTCTGGGTCCCAAGCCTCTTCTGGATCCCAAGCCTCTTCTGAGCCCTGAGCCTCTTCTAGATCCCAAGCCTCTTCTGGGCCCTGACCCTCCTGTAGGCCCTAAGCCTCCTGCAGGTCCCGAGTCTCCAGAAGGTCCTGAGTCTCGTGAGGGTTCCACACCTCCTAAGGGTTCCGCACCACTTCCTGTGGAGTTCATGCCACTCATTCATCCTTAATGCATCCTGAGAGCCAATAAATCTCTTAAGATCTCACATGAGATCATGCATACTGTCATTTAAAAGGTTTGACCCAATCAGATACAACTCCATCTTTGTCATATGATAATCTTAGTATGACACTGTAACATGAGATGCAGCAGGTGACATGCTTCAGGGAAGGTTAGGTCTTTCATTTAGTTCATTTCGTAGTTTTTTTTCCATCTCAGTGAACAAGAGCAAAACGTTGATTGATGTTCAGTATAGCTTGATTGTCTATTAATAATTCAAAACTCATAAAACCACCTTTTTCTTTTTGAGAACTCTTCTGTTAACCACAGAATAAGAGGGCTTATTTGATGTGAAATTAAATAAACTTTTTTTGTAAATACAAATCAAAACTACACAATTTTATGCGTGTAAAACTAATAAAAAATGGTACAAATATGGAATAAAAAAATTAAAGTATTATTTTATTGTATTTTTTAATTGAAATGAAATGGATTAAAGGCTGTACTCCACATATATTATCTTGTAATAATGAACTGCCTTATCAAAATCTGTATTATTGGTAATTTATAATTTTTGCCTGACAGTTAAGTAGTAAACCACTCGACAAAAAAGTAATTATTAGAAGAAAAAAATTAAACAAAGTATAAAAATACAAACTGGAAATATGACGTAGCACAAAGTAAAAATACTGGGACCAGTTTCATTCTATTACTGCTTACCAATGACTGCAGCTTATAATAATTGACACAAAATCAATTGTTTTTTAAATAAAGTAAACAAATTTAAAATCAACTCTGACAAGGATAAGTTGTCAGAATTGCAATCTTTGGCTCTTCCTCCAGGAGATGGAGACTTCCTGATGCACTCAGTACTCCACAAACGAAAGGATGAAGATTATCTAAACTACAGCTGCCTCAAAGGATTATTCCTTTTAGTTTTCTTACTAAATTCAAGCCCACAGGCCAATTTAATACACATCTAAAGTAACATTTGCCTCAGTTCAAGTGTTCAGCTGTCAGAGCAGAGCCTCTGTTAGTCCTCACAAACTAAACAGTCTAAGATGCAGGCTGAGTGTTTCACAGATTGCTCCAGGCTACGGATCCACTAAAAGTGTAACAGTTGGGGTATGTATTGGGTTTTATAGCTCTGTCAGTTCACAGTAACCATGAAGATTCTTTCAGCTCTGGTTAGAAAGGGTTTTTAAGGAATAGCTTGTATTTGGAAATGTTGTTTCATGTAAAGATCCTGAGTGATTTCTGCGGTTGATCTCTCTGTGAACAAGCTCAGTTTATTAAATTATAGTTTATTTCTAGCTGGGAAGTCAAACAAACAGTGCAAACTGGACCAAGCCAAACTGGACTGCTGCTGTCAACTCATATCTATACAATTTGTAGCAATTCATTCAATAGTGCCTTTATAGTTCATTACATCACTGCCACTTTCCCATTATATGGTTTATTAAAGAAAATTATATTGATATTTACACTGTTGATAACAACAGCTCCTTTGTTATGTTGCTCAACATGTTCCAAGCAGTTAATTCAGTAAAAAGATAAAAACATATTTAATACAGACCTTTCCACAGAACACCTTTTCATAAAACCTAAACTGTGATTAAACATATCTCTGATCTGTCATTTCTCCTGCTAGGTATAGCTCTAAGTGCCCTGCCCATGTACCTGGGCGAGATTTCTCCAAGACACATCAGAGGCTTTATTGGTCAGTTCAACTCCATCCTGATCTGCTTAGGAGTGTTCACAGGGCAAGTGCTGGGACTGCCGCAGCTGCTGGGTCAGGTTAGTGTGCTGAACAACTGAAATACAACTAAATATCCATCATGTTTCTCTGCATAAAGCAGGTTTCAGAAGCTGTCTTTTTTTAATTACCTGAGTAAACATATGAACAAATAATTATCATAACTGGCTAGCAAAGCACACTTGATATAGTTGTTGACATGACTGTCGTTTTGATTAGCTGACACACGATCAGCGAGGGGCTGGATGCCACGCTTAAACTCACATGGAAGAGGAGCACAAAGAAACACAATCTGTGCTGTTATCATGCTGTGGCATGTCAGCAGTGGGCAGAGTGTGAACACCATTTAGACGTGGCATTAACTGGATTACTTGCTCAGTTCCAGCTGCACAGAAACATATGTGCCCACCTCAAAACCAGAAAACAGACACAACAAGGCTGCATGAAATTTGCATGCCCTTCTGTGCAATGATTCGAAGGCAAACACTAATTTTTGTTTACTTATTCAGTGTCACATTTACTGTATCTCTTTAACAAACAGAATAAAAGAGCATATATATATATATATATATATATATATATATATATATAT